TCTTTTCTTTTTGGAGAAAAATTAGCTTTAGCGAGATTTCGGCTAGGACCATCCATTTACCTTGAAATCGAACAATTTTACTGCCCACGTACGAATTTCACCAAAAGCGCTCACAAAGATTTAACGCGAGTCAACCCCAGCCTCGTTCTCACGTGTGCGCGGTTGCATTTCCAATATGGCGCTGGGAACTGTAAAAAGGTCTTTTGGAATACTTTACTAATTAAAACAACGCCATTCGGATCTTGCCTTTGTGCTACGCACAGACGAAAATATTAAATTCTACCATGGGGAAAATACGTGAAAGTTATTTGAATTTGCTGTGTCAGACACCCGGTCGCGGGAAGCGTTTCCTAAAAGTTGGACACCTGACATTTTAGAATTCTCCTATAATTTCCACTTCACCTTGCGAATGATTATGTGATATCTCACTGAAGTCTCATTTTATGTCATACGATTCATATTTATGTTTTAGGGGGATATAACAGGTAAAGAAGATGTAAGAAAGATATTTATCAGTCATCAGATTGATGTGGTTTTTCATAGTGCATCAAATGGAATGTCTGGAAGAGAGCAAATTAGTATGTTGTACCTATTGAGTGAATGGTAGGGCCAGACAAAAATATATTTGCTTCCAGGTTGTGGATTCAAAGATGTGCAGAGCTCTGACTCTGTGCTTGTTCCAAATGTCACGATTGAGAGATAAATGTTTCTCTGTCTTCTCTGTCTTTCTCTAGCCCAACCCTACTCGGTCAAAACTGATTTTTTTTTAGACTGAAATCCAGTCCAATGGATGTACCATCACTGCTTGTTGCTTTCTGCTCCTTAGCTGGAATAAGCAGTGACATGATTGTTCGTTGAGTTGCAAGCTGTCCTTTACCTTAAATCCTGTTGATATCGGTATCCCTATTCTCCATTCTGTTCCCTATACAGATCCCATGGTACTGACAAAGAAAACTGGTAGTTGATAGTTTTCTTTCAATATCAATTTTTGCTGAGGGTTGGGGGAGGAAAAGTACTCATGGATTAATAAATTATAATTTTGATCAGGTATGAGAAATGTTCTCTTTTGACTTTTGTCAGCATCCTGACCATTATTCCAGAAAAAAAGTCCATAGCAGAGCAAACTCTTTTGAATGCTAATGGTGTACCATTAAAAGGTGAGATTTTTATATCAACATTGCTTCATTGAGTAAAATATCCTTTAATTTCTAGTAAATATTTGTGTGGGTTTTTAAGAGATAAAATTCTGAGCAGCATAGTTTTTTATATGATACAGATACTGAGGTATATTGTAAACATAATTTAATCGCCATGAGGTGTAAAATGTAACCTGAGATTCAGAAGTGATCATCCATTCTGAGAGCATCAACATTACAGTTTGAGGTGCTTCTAGGAAAAATGCATGGAATTGTGTCTGCACCACAAGGACTGTTATTAAGTACCTATTTTTTTCACATGTTGCCATATTAATAATACCTATGTTCAAATATTGTATGGCAATGAAATGATGAAGCCTCAGATGAATCAATTTTTGTAAATCACACACTTAAGGTAAAAAAAGGGTTTCAAAAAATTAAGAAAAAAACTAAGCATTTAGTACAATGTAGTTGTAGTAGTTAATTTAGTTCTACAATGTAGAACAGACAGGTTAAAGTTAATCTTTAGTCTGTCTAGTAACTGTTCCTTCAGGTTTATTTTTTATGTTAAAAACCTTACTTATTTACATTGTAATTTCATACTTAGAACCACACTGAAATGTTCTGGTTTTTTTGGTAATGTGGCAAGGTCTACTTTCCTTTATTTTTTTTTTCCTTTCTTCATTCTTCTCTTTTTATTCCTCTGTATGTATGTAGTTTGATTTATTGTTTGTATGCTGTAACGTTTTTGTCAATGTCAGTGTATAGTTAGTCAAGTAGTCTTGTATGTAATGAGTTGTATTATGAAATAAAGCTGTAATTTAGAAGAAAAATAAAGGCAATAAGGATTTCCTTAATTAAGTTTAAGCAGCAGCCCCCCCCCCTTGGTTTTTATGTTTTTGTTTTGTTTGTTTGTTTTATTTTTGAACAGGAGTGATTGAAAAATATACCATCATTTCAAAAACATCCATCACTTTTAGTTCATAAAATAAATTTGACTAACATATTTCCTCTTATTAAACTGAAGGAAACATGATTGCTGGTCTTTTACAACAACAAAAAATTGGTTTTTTGTCCAGCAAATACCAAAATTCATCAAAAAAATAGTAAACCCACTTGCAATTCATTTCATTTCCTGGAAATCATTGACAGATGGGAAAATTCTCAAGACCTGTGCTTTAAGACCAGCTGGTATCTACGGAGAAGGAGATTTAAGACATTTACCCAGAATTGTGATAAGTTTAATATAAAATTCTATTTTATTTTTCTTGGCTCCAGAATATAATTACTGATACATTTTTGCAAACTAAAGCTTTAAGTGGCCCATAGTGCTGGAGATTTTCTAAGTTTTATAGATAAGATGAACTGAAATGAACTGCCACCTCCAAGGTAAAATGGCATGCAATGTAATCCCACCTATTTTATCAATAGGGGCCTTCTTCCTGTGTGGGGAGAGTGATACTAGAGAAAGTTAACTGATCTGCAACAATAACCTTAACATGAAAGGGAGTGTGAGTTGTCACAGTGTTGATGCTTAGGAAAACATAGCTAGCCCAATGAGCCCCACACCTTAGAGCTCAGACCACCCTCTGAAATTCCAGAGAAAATGGCTGCCACAGTGAACACACAGACCACTGCCAAAATAATTTAAGATTTTAATGTCTTCATTTCACTCTACTGAAGGGAAACTGCACAAAGTTGCATATTAAATAATATACTTTCCCCCTGTCAAATTTTATTTTCAACTTGAGCATCAGGCTCTCTCAAAAAAAATTCTAAAGCTAGAGAACGGATTCAACTTCACGATGTACAGCGAGTCATTGACAAGGTTGCCTTCAGCTTTGAAAGTATTTATTAGTATGATGACTCTCTTTTGCACTCTTATTCCATCAGAATCATGTAAAAAGCTTTCCCTCAAATACAACACCAAAAGACAGATCGCAAATTTCTCCTCAACAAAAGGAATCCTAAACTTTCTAACGCGGGTCAATTTTGAATTTGCCCGCCATAGCGACATCGCGACACGTCACAAGGCGCAGCCATAAAATTACTTTTTGTGAGTCATGAGCAAGAACAAACCAATTTTTACGCCTAAATGAAAAGTTTCACTTTGAACAATGCGTATATGTTCTTCGCTTAGGCAAACTTTTGCTCCAAGCGAGTTACAAGGGGGCAAACTTTGCAGAGGAGATCGTTTTGGTCTTCTCCGGTTGGGTCAGCAAGATGTAAATATTTCCCCAGAGTCATGAAGCGGTGCTCTGGGATCGTTTTTTTTAAGCAATCAACTCCAACAAACTCGTCAGAATTCCAGTACATTGCCAGCTGAGGAAGTTCATGGATTCCAATGAGAATGTTTAGCCCGAGATACGCTGAAATTTCCGCTTGGGTAGATGTGAACGATCGATCCCCTTTCGAACGAGCGTACGCAACGGTGTATCGGACGATTTCGTCAATGTAAGCATCGTCGATAAATACATTGAAGAAATCTTTGGCAGTTGAATTTTCTCCGAGATCTCTGGTCGGGCCACGACGAATGGAGAATTCCTCAACATTAATTTGTCGCAATTAGCTAGACCATTGAAGAGCATTTGGTTGGCTTTCTTCTGCGGCAGATTCTTCATCACTACTTTCGTCGCTTTCTTCTTCCTCCTCACTAGCGTATAGCTCAACATCGGAATCGCTTCCCCTTTCTTGCGACCGTAGGTCGAAAAAGTCTTCCATCTCGTCATCCACATTGCGAAGTAAGTTTTGTTCATGCTGTGCTTGACGAGCTTGTCGCTTTTTTCAATTTCTTCGACGATAAAACCAGCAAAGACTTCTTGCTCTTCATCGGATGAAAATTAACTTTCATCAATTCTTCCAGAAGCCATGTCTAAGACCACGACATATTTTTGAAAAATTTGTCAAAAATCGCACGGTAAACGTGGAATAGCGAGTTTGGTCTCGAACGAAAGCTTATTTTTTGCATGTCACGTTTCACTGCTTTTCAATACCCAGGGGAGTTTTGTTTCTAAGCTACAGCCAATCAAAACAAGCCATTTCTGACAGGGCGCATGAGGACGCATTGGAATTTCAGAGGGGTTTTATTTCTGGGCGCATGAGGGCGCATCGGATGTTAATGGGCTAGATAATTAAATGAACCTCCATCATTTTGTAAATTGTATGATGTGTTAACTGTCTTAAATAGTGCCAGACTTTGTTGCATTGCAGCAGAGTGTGTGAATGCAACATAGTTTCTATGAAATTGTGAAAAATTTGCCATTGAGGTTCCGGGACAACACAAAATTTGTTGATGCCTCTCTGTTGTTTGTAGACAACAGCCAGGAAGGGGGCTGTCCTGGTGTACCGGTACACGAGGGAATTCCTTTTGTTTTCATAACCATACATGGAGTTATGACGCAGTTCGTTAATGTTTCCTTCCTTTGTGTACCGGTACACGAGGACACAACCGCCAGGAAGTGTACATAGTTTTGAATGCAGATATTTATGCAGAGCTATTAATCTGCCCAAAATAAAATCTTTTGTTCACACTTGTTGCTGTTGTTCTACTGGTTTCCTTTAAGTCTGTACTCCTTTTAATCCCAAGATCTCACTATTGAGTAATTGTCTTTGCTGTCTGCCCTACAATTGCTATGATGTCACTTCAAGAACTTGGTTTTGGATCTGCTAATAATCCCTTAATTGACTGTTTCTTTATTCTTATAACTTTTCATCCTCTGACACCAAGGGTGCTGTCAGTTGACTTGTGGAAGAGCCTGATCTTCAGCCCTGATGAGATTCACATCTTTTGTATTTTTCTGTTTTCAGTCATATATTGAGAGAGGCCTTTTTGCCTTCACTTATGGCCAAGATGACTCTATTGTTGACTTTGTTCATTTAAATGATTTGGTTCAAGCTCACATTTTGGCAGGAAAACCTCTCATAGAGGCAGATTCCATAGCTGTGAGTAAGGAAGACATAAATTATGTAACAACAGAATTATTGATGTCAAAGGACTAAGAGTAGAAGTTTTGGGATATTTTGGTGGCATGTTTTGCATACAATTAATTTCCTAAAATAGACTTTCATTCTTGTATTTGATAGACCATTGTTGTTTATTAAATGGGTTTTATTTCAGGCTCGTGAAGGGTATTTTACTTCAGATGATTCCCCCTTGAATGATTTTGAGTTCTTCAGACCTTTGGTAAGTCAAATTTTTTCCAAGTGAATACTTATAAATTTATTCCTTGATGAAGAAGTATTGTGGTTATTACATGAACCTTAAACAAACAAGCAAGCAGTTATATATTAAGCAGTGTAAGCCCATTTCCTTCTGGCCTCATAGTTTTGTCTTGCTCTTTTGCTTAGTTAACAAACAGAACTTTCTATATCAACCCTTTGGCCCTAAGAGTGACTAACATCTAATTTCTCCTTACCATATGACCCCTGAATCAAACATGAAAGTCATGAGAATAGAGGAGATGATCACCAACTAAAGCAGCTCTTGATCATTATGCAAATTCTCCTTTTCAGCCTCTTTGCAAATGTATGGAGAACAGTATGGAGAATATGCATACTGATGGTAGGGTGTAAAGGGTTAAGCAGTGTGAGCCCATTTTCTTCCGGCCCTATAGTTTTGTCTTTCTCTTTTGCTTGTCTAATTAGATGAAAGCTTGGAATTCAGACTTCAGATTTGGTAAAATTTCTTTTTCCTCTCTTTCTTTTTCTTTTATCCTCTCTCCCTTGTCTTAGTCAAACAAATCATAGAACAAATGAAGGAAAAGAAATTAAAATTTGGAAAGATGGTGTAACTCTAAAGAAATAGTTTATGCCTGAGTTCCTAAACTGTCTCTTGGAATCATCGCTATTCTGACTGAAATTTTTTTACAATTTTTCAAATAGGTTGAAGGTTTGGGAAACAAATCTCCCAAATTAAAGTTGTCAATAACTCTTGTATATATGGTTGGTAAGTTAAATTTATTTATTTTCATTTATAGACCCCTCAGTTATTAATGTCCAGATTCATATTAATAAGATAAATACTCACATTTTTTGTTTTCTATGATTTTTCCTCTATCCTTTGTTTTGTTGTTCTGTGCATTAATCTGTCCACTTTTAAAGCTCATTTAATTAATTTATACTAATTTATTGATTCATTCAATTTGATGATGACTGTCAAGTTATCATAATTTTTTGATGTGTATGACTTACAGTTATTTTCAGTTTTTCTTAAGTCCCTAGTAGTTTTTATTTATATTATTTGGTAATAGGGTATATTGTCATCTGATTATTTCTATTATCCTGTTTGTGAATGACAAAGTGAGGTTTTAGCACCGAGTCAAGACATGTGATTGTCTGCAGACTAAATTGGATTTTGCATGACCTTATTTCCATCATAACCCATGCAGTTAGATCTGCAAAACTAGCTCATTGATCACTACTTTTATCTACTGAGATAAATTAAAGATTATAAATTTAAATGATTGGATTATGATTGGTCAGTTATATAATGAGGAAGTCAGAGAACACAAACTCCATTAAATAGTTTTTTCTTTTACAAGAGAGATTTTCTGTTTGCAGAATTGTTAACAGAACTGGTTCACTCAGTGATTGGAAAATATATTTATAATTTTCAGCTGTTCCTCATGAGAACAGAGGTACTATTCTCCAACAAACTTACAAAACCATAGACAAAAATAAGTAGCAATGACTATATGCCATCTTAACAATCAAATGGGAAATTGTGTAAAAGTGATAAAGGTGTTTAAGGACTAATAAGTCCTGACAACATCAAAGCATTTTTCAGCAAAGATATGATGAGGTTAGACAAACACATCAGCTTATCAGATTGTTATCTAGACTTAACACAAAATTCTTAATCTCTTTCCAAGAAAATATAGGGAAAGTAGAATGTAAGAGAACTCTGGGTCAGATCTGGGAAGGTTGAGGGTGAAGTATCACCAAAACATGAGTGACTTTCTGTGACTTTTCAACTCTTAAACCCATCAACATATGAATTCACCTTGCTAGTTTACATACATTTCTTTTTCAAATTATGTGATCCATTCAATTTCTGTTTTATGATCAGTTCCTTGATTCTCCTGAGTATTGCTGGTGACAGTGTGCTGATGGTGTGGGAAGAAATGAAATGCTGATCACTTCAAAGGATTAAACACGCATATTGCTTTGAACTTTATTTGCAATGATGTACTGCTTTAGCAATGGGGCCTTTCTCTTTAATATCTTCATACTTCAACTGCCTGGAGATGAAGACCTTCAATTCCTTCAAATCGGCCTTTTAGCCCTTTTTATCAGAATGTTGTTGGGAAATTGTGTTGATCAGTGTCATACTGGAAGCACAAAACCTGCAATTGGTAAGTTCATACAATCACATTATAACAAGACAAAATATTATGTTGATTAAGTGATTGTAATAGAGAAAACTATGAATGAGGGGAGTATGAGTTGATCCAGTTTTAAATTCTCTGAACCAACATCATGAGACTTGTATGGCAGACAGTAAGGAAAATTACTCATGAGATCTGGCAGTCAGAGAGGGTTCAGCAGGCCTAAGATTTCAGATGTTTTCTCATACCCTTCAATCCCTGATAATCTGTTTCTTATCTCTTTATCAGAGGGTATGTCAAGACATCTTGCTGTTGAATGGGGCCCAGATGGCATTAGGGTAAACTGTGTTGCACCAGGTGCTGTGAAGGACACAGAGGGTTTTTGTAGACAAGGTAAAGAATTACAGGGAAGCAGAATCTGCGCATTTTACCTGCACCTAATGCAATTTTCATATCATACAATTTTGGTAAGCTTAGAATAGAAGAGAGCACTTGGCTGCAACTGTGTTGATTGCTATGGTGACCAGAAACAATTTTGACATCCAAAGTTTCAGCAAAAGCATCCCGTATTTGGCAAACATGTGGAAAGCTTCTAAATTGACATTGTTATTAGTAGGTTTTTAGAGTCTAAAGTTTGGCTAAGATAAACATTTGTTTGCTTAAGATGAAATGAATTTTGGATATGTACAATTACTAAAAGAATACTTTTCCTGGCTGAAAGCTAGTCTAAAAATATTTCATACTCAATGTTTAACATTTAATTTACCTTAATCCCTATTCCACTTACAAAGTAATGCAGTTCACAATTTTCTTTCACTTTAAGTCTGAAGGAAGCTTTAACTGAACTACATCTTCACAGAAGGCAAACATCTTCCACCAAACTTCATTGAGAATTTGTACCTTTACAAAGACTGGTTTCTCACCAAGATGTGGCAGATGGTGTACTCTTTCTGGCAAGTGGTGCTTCAGCTTTTATCACAACAAACACACTGGCAGTAGAGGGTGGAAGTGGATGGTAGTTGGATCACAAATTATGTTTCCATGGCAACAGTGAACAAGTCAATTAGCAAGCTGTGATCCACTAGACTCTGGTGTCCAATTAGTATCTGATGGGCACTTGTGCAAATCCCAATTAAGTGTGAAGTTTTTATGGCTCATTTGTTCTTTAGATTCTAATTATTACAGTTAATCTTAACCCTTTGCATCCTAATATCATTTCCTTTATTCTCATGATCGTAATGAATGATTCAGCAGTATTACAGCAAGGAGAAATTAGATGCTGGTCACTCCAAGGGTGTTAAGGGTTAAAATATGATGAAGTATCATTTGGAAATGTGGAACTTGAATTACACAGTGATGAGAGCACCAGTTGTTGCCAATAGGCCATGGCAGATTCATAAAAAGATTCACTGGAGTAAACTTTTTAATATGTTCAATCACATTGTTTACAATTTTTTTTCTGGATATTTTTATTTAGCATGAAAGTTCCATCATCTTGAAGCTGCTTAATAATACTAAAATTTCCCTTACTTTATGATATACCTGCAAATTACTTAAATTTTTTTTTCTTTTTGTTAGTCAAAAGTATAAGATAATTGATTTTGTTGGGCACCTTTAATTTCATATCATAAGAGCCTGAAGACTTGCATCAACCCTAAGAAAATCTCGAGAGATGCCCTCTTTACTGCCTTCTCATCTTAGGTTGGAAGTATTCATGGAAAGCATGGTCATTTAATGAAAAGTTTCTCTTCACAGACTCATTCAAGTTTTCATAACTTCGTTTATTCTTAGAAAAAGTGTCAGTTAAATTTGTGAAGTAGCACTGAGTTTATTAGCCAAGGATGAAAAACTGTGTGATAGTTGGCAGGTGTATTGGAACAGATTTGTGATTGATGTCTGCTCATGGCAGGCAAAGTTTGGTAAGTGGATATAGAATAAAGTGATATAAATTGAATAAAATTGATTTTTGAAAATAAGCAACAGATGATTGCATTGACTGGTCTTAGCATTAAGCTAGAAAAGATTTATGCAAACACCCATTCCCATTTTTCTATATTTCTTCCTATAGTTGAGGGAGGTCAAAGGTTGCAGCTTCTTATCAAGACTATTGCATTGACTATAGTAACATTAGACATTTCTCTCAGCCTTGAAGAAAATAACTAGCCAATTGAAAGATATTTCATCAAGTGATACTCCTACATGTAAGACCTCTGACATTACAGAGTTCCATACAAGGAGCAAATTTGAATGTTCAGTAACTCCCCCTTGACCTGTAAAGCATGATGATCCTTTTGCTACATAACAAGGTTACATCTGCATTTCACTGTTTGATATTTTTCCTTGCCTTCTGGGGTCTGGTATGGACTGAAGTGCTCTGAAATACTGGACTAATCAATGCATTATATATTTAACAAATAGATTCCAAGTTGCTGTGTGTCTGTTCAGTAATAGATCATTGATGATGTCAAAATGTGGTAAGAACAAAAAAGTGGCACACCAGGTGTAACAACCTCCCAGGAACAACAGATGTAAATTTCACAAATTTTGCTCTTTTTCCTCATTTATTAAGTCACTCCTTTCATTTATTTAGAAAATTTCTACCACTTTTTCATTAAAATACTTAAGATGGCATACAGTAGCATTTTTAACCCTAAGCATTGATGCCAAATTGAAATCTATGGTTCTCATCGTTTTACATCCTACTGCAAAAAGTTAAATCCAGGTCACTGTGGAAAAAATCTTACTTTAGTTAAGAAATAGCTAGTTTTACCAATCTAGAGAGGAAGGAGATTAAACAGATCTCGATTTAAGTCCAAAAAAAAAAAAAACCAAGTACATTAAGTTTGTTACAGTTATCTATACAAGACAGTTATCAATCCACCTAACAAAAATTGAAAGTAATTTCAATTTACTCGCAGGTAACTATGAGTTACTAAAGTCCTTGAATATCTTAAACATTACAATGAAAGAATAAGCTGAAGTTTGTACATTATACCAAGAAATATATAAAAACTATGTGGTTAAGCCTTTAACTCCCAGAAGTGATTAACATGTAACTTCTCCCTATATTCATAAATTAACCATGAAAAAGGTAGTGAGAATACTCAAACTTATCAGGTACAAGATGTTACCTTGATTAAACACCAAATTCTTGTAACCAAATTACAAGGAAATTTGTAGCAGCTGGAAGGGAGAATTGTCAATCAGATCTTGGGAGTTAAAGGGTCAAGCCTTTTCTATAGGTAAGCCTGCAAATTCAGATGTTTTTTTTGTACTGCTTCTCTCCACCCAAGCAGAGAGGAGTGATAACCATTCCTAGCCAAGGTTAGTTAGTCATTAAAACTAAATGCATGCCTATCTGTGCTGTAGTATAACACCTTTTAATGTTTTTTTAAAGCCGAGTTTTTCCTTCAGAGTAAAATGCATTGTAGTGTGGGAATTCTAAAGGACACATGTTTCCTCTACATGATCTGAAAAACTGAATCTCTAATATGATACACACAGATTTGCCACAATATAATTGGTGATGATAAAGGCAGTTTCTTCATATCCAAGGATCAGTTGTAGGAAGGTCCTGCCAAGGGAGGCACGCTCTCGGATGACTAATCAGTCCTATTCTTGATAGGCAGATCCTAGGACATCAAGGGCACAGGAAGGTAGGTCCTGTTGGATCCTGCTCTTGTGCTTCCTTTCGTCATCTCCTCCTCTCTTCTGCCGCCTCTCGTCTTGTGATCTCAAAATCTTGTGCTGCTCTTCTTGTTGTTAATCACCATGCTGCATGGTTTTCTGCAAGCTGTTCCCAGTGCTTGGGGTTGATGCCAGCCTGAGTCAACTGGCCCTTCAGTTAGTCTTTCCAGCATTTTCTTGGAACCCCTCTGTCTCGTTTTCCATCTGATAGCTCCTTTGGGATTCATGTATCAGGCATACTGGAGACATGGCCAGGCCATCATTGTCGCAGCATGAACGTGGCCTTCATACTGGGAAGATTGGCTTTTTCCAGGACTTCATTGTTGGTTCTGTAGTCCTGCTATCTAATGTTCATGATGGAGAAAAGGCAGCATTGCTGTTCTAGGCATTTGATTTGCTTTCTGAACAGTACACATGCCTTGACCCCTTACGGGAAGGTATAGATGACAACAGCCTTATATACCAGAATTTTGGTGGAGAGGCGAAGAGAAGGGTTTTGTGTGAGGGTGAACACTATCTTCCAAGTCTTACATTGCCTGCACATTCCAGCAAGCCATTTTCATATTCATAGTCCCTATCTGTTTCCATGTCTGTCTTTTAGTTTATACTGATAAATTCTTTTAACTAGTTTTTACTGCTAAACTAGGGATGCCCATTGATTGGGCCAACCAACTGGGTAAGGATGAGACAAACTTTTTTTAGGTCATCTTTACTAGACCCCTCTCTATTCAGGGCAAGCAATGCAACCCTAGAAAAGGCTGCTAGGTTGCTTGGGGTGAGCTGCTTAGTCGCTTGTCTCTGTTCACAAGCAAGTGACCATGTTACCCTAGACCACCTACATGCAAAGTTATTTCTGCAATTTCAGCGCCATCTAGCACCTGTCATTTTTGCCATGCTCCATCACTGCAGGTCTTTATTTCCTGCCTGCACTCTGTATGTTTCAAGTGAGGGCCAGTTCATGCACATCAATCCCACTCTTTAAGCCCAGGGAAGATTTACAGCAGCTCAGCAGGTTGAGAGGCTGTAAGATTCGTAGGGCTGTAGCTTTTATAACAGAGGTGGCATCTCCTATCTTCTGGCTAAAGAGCCTGCTCTCAAAAGAACAACGACTATTTATCCATAGCTAGAGCATGGGTAAAGGACTCTCTGTCATGTCCTTGAACCCAGGGTAATTGCATGACTTAATTGTCCATTACACATGGCACTAGATAGGTTTGGATGAGGTAGTCCTTTTCTTAAGTGGATTACCCTCCCAGGCTATCGAGCTCCACCTGCCCGGGCTAGGGCTTTAAAGGCGGCCCTTTCTCGCCTGATGTACTTGTCATGGGATTTATGGAGCATTTTATAGAGGAAGCAGTGCCATCTGCAGCCTCACCCCATCCTGGTAAGTACATTGCCACTTTGGTCTGCAACTCCTTATCCACTGGGAAGCCAGCTTATTTGGAGCTAACCTTCACTGAAGGCCTTTCACTATCTGCCACCTTTCACCTGATGGGCTGGGGATGGTTGCCACGGATTACCATCAAGATAAATGCAAACTTGTGAGTAATTACAATTAAAGACAATAATCATCCAATCCATAATAAATGTAACAAAAACTTGGAATTTCTCCTATTTATTTAAAAACTAATATTTATTACATCTAACTACACCTGTGCAAGTATTCTTAAAAGTGTGGGCCTCTGTGGCCTTTCACAACATTTTAGTGTGTGAGAGGAAGAAGATATTCTACAGCTGCTTTATTTCCTCTCTCTGCAGCCCACATTAAGGGTGTCTTATCACAACCATCCCTGGAATTAGGGTTGTGACCACGCTTAAGCAGCATCTCAATGGCTGCCACGTTACCACTCATTGCTGCAGCAGATAGGACAGTCCACCCGTCCTTACTTTTCAAATTTTCATCAGCACCCTCTGCAAGCAGATAGTTTGCAGCCTTCAGTTTACCCTGTGTCAAGCAATGCAACAGTGGAGTGATACCAAGGTCTGTACACATAGCATTTATGTCAAGATTTTTAGAGAGCACAGCCTTAATAGTGAGAACATTGTCAGAAAGAGCAGCTAAATGGAGCAGTCCAACGTCTGATGTATTTCTAAGTAATGGATTAGCACCTTGAGCAAGAAGATATTCTACAGCCTTTGTATTTCCACAACGTGCAGCTTGCATCAATGGTGTGTCTCCCCCATCATCTCTAGAATCAATGCTACAATCACGTGAGAGCAGCATCTCAATGGCTGCAACAGAACCAACTGTTGATGCAATGGTCAAAATAGGGATTTCTCTCTGAATGGTTTTCAAACTTTCATTGGCACCCTTCTCAAGCAGATATTTTGCTGCCTCCAATTTGTCATATTTAATGGAAACCATCAGAGGGGTTAAACCCAGAGTTTCACCTCTGGAATCCACATCAAGACCTTTAGAAAGCAAGGTCTCAATAATGATGACATTGCCAGACTTAGCAGCTAAGTGGAGAAGGCTCCATCCATGTTCCCCTCTCAGGAATGGATCTGCTCCATGTTTAAGAAGACAATTTACAGCCTCTATCTGTCCACAACCTGCAGCATAGACTAATGGCGTGTTTCCCTCTCTATCTCTTGAGTCAGGTCTTAAACTAGAGAGCAACATCTCAATTGCTGCAACACTTCCGTACTGTGATGCTATGTGTAAAGCATTCCCCTTTTTAGATCCAGTTGTCAAAGATATGTCTGCACCCTTTCGAAGAAGATATTTCATAACTTCAACATGGTTTCCCTTGGCAGCAATTGTCAGTGGGGTGTATGAGAATTCATCATCTTTTGAATCAATGTCAATGCCACGAGAGAGCATGCTCTTCACAATGGAAATGTTGCCACCTTCAGCTGCCGCATGAAGCAGATTTCTTCCAATGAAGTTTTTAAGGTGTGGATGAGCTCCCTTGCTGAGAAGAAGGTCTACTGTCTTCTCGTCTCCTTTAGCGGCTGCCACCATTAAGGGTGTTGTACCATCATTACCCCTTGAATCTATGTCTAATCCAGAAGATAGCAAAGTCTCAATTATATCTTCATTACCACCCTCTACAGCAGAATGTAAGGGATTCCACCCTCTGGTTTCAACAGACACACCTCCTTTCACGTCAGAAGTTTCTGTAGCTGGCAAGGGAATTGGTTGAGTGTTGCTATCAACAAAAGAATGCATGTCCCCAAGAAATCTCAGAGCAGAATCTCCATTTTCAACAGGAGCTGTTGATAAATACAACAATTAATGAAACAAGAGTGTATGTGACAGTTTTGAAAGAAAGGTTCAGGGGTTGCAAATTCAAGACTTTGATGCCCAATTTTCTCTAATTAGTTTACATTAATTTTTTTTGCAGTTTAAATCCAAAACAGATGCATCCAGAGAATCAACTTTACATTCTGAACACTGGCAGCATGCACGCCAATTAATCCTTTTACTTTTTTCACTTAAAGTGATTTATTGAAAACTCTGTGGGTCAGTCCTCCCTTCTAGGTGACACAAAGTTCCCAACCCACCAAACAAAGTTATGTTGAGTGAAATTACTGCAATAAATTCTCTAATCCTCTGAAAAACTGTTAATGACAGATTTCTTTCATGAAGCTTTCATCACCCAAACTATTTGCTCACCACACCACAGCATGGAAGTAACACCACTGCATGATCTCATTTCCAGCCTCTTCTTAAATAAAACCATATCTTAACTCAAGTTTTATATTCTTTTCCTTTGAAGGTGAAAGATTTTGGATTTCAACTGGGAAAAATTCTTTTTTTACTTGGTGGAAATGATACATGCTATTGATTTTTTCATTGTTGGACATACATGTATTGTTTGATTAACAAATTGATGACAGAGAGATGTGAGTTATTATGGTTGGATGGATGGACTAATTAGTTGATTGATTGACAGAATGGAATGGTATAAAATATACCTGGACCAGGAACTGGGTCTGATACCTCCTTAGAGACCTCACTTTTTTTCTTCACAACAGGGTTAACATTGCTTGGGCTAGGAGCATTATGTTTCCTACTTCTGATGACATCTTGAAGCTCCATTTCTTTGACAAAAGGCTCTTGTTCAGTCTCTTTACACAAACTTGCCCCTAAGTCTGCAGATAGAGTATTAAGTAATTAAAAAATATATTCAAAAGTTTAGGAGAATGCCATCAACATGGCATATTCTGTGAAGACGTACAGGCATATCAATTCATGTATCATTTTAGCAGTCAAGGAAAAATATGGCTCCCTTACTGTCTTAGAACTTGAATTGCTAGAATGATCATCCATTTGTTACTTTGTTAACTTAATTTTAGAGCTGCAATGAAATGAACCCAGGATCTGGAGAAAAGCATAAGAAGTCTGATAATTTTGGATTTTTGGAAAATGAATTTGATAAAGGTTTGGTGAAGTCACATTGATTATGGACAACTGAGTGCTACATTATAGGTAATAATAAAATATCAAATATGAACATTTATTTCCCACAAAATTTGCAAAGACATCATCATATAGATGAACATGATCAGTTAGTGCTAATTCTCTGTGGCTCTTACCACTGGATGAACATGCCCCTCCATTCTCAGGTTCGGAATTCCAAGTTTGCTTCTTTCCTGAAGTAAAGATTAGAATACATCTAAATGGGGTAGTCTCATACCAACTCGTCACAAACTACAACTTTTGGCCACCACTATTATTAAGAACAGTTACTGTATTGTATGGCCATTACCACCAACTTATAGACTTGGATTACCAGTTTTCTTACATGTAAATTTGTCATATTCCATAACACTACTGTCCCTATAGCATTTAGAAACAACTTCTAACTGGTAAATTGAATATTTAACGCAGAACATGTGAGCTTTGTCATTATTTCAAATTTTCTGCTTTCCTGATGCAATATGAGAAAACTTACCAAATGCAAGATTGTACATCTTTTCGACAAGGAAATTGCAAGGTTCCTCCCAGCTGAACTTCTGCAAATAGTTTTCACGAAGACTCTTAGCCTCTTCAAGTCGTACATTCCTTTTTTTGTCATGCACAGCTTTTATTGCACTGGCCCAGGCTGCAGGATCCTCTGAATCCACTATACACTGTGACCCATAAGTCACCTCCTTTAAGGCTTCTGCAATTCCTGAGTTACCACTGACAAGTACTGGAAGACCAGCAGATATGGCCTGAAGAGCACTCAACCCGAATCCCTCTGTTTTTGAGGGCAGTATGACAATATCCACCACAGAGAATAAGTTTGCTAATTTTTCCCTGTCTTCATCTAAAGTGCAGATACTTAGCTGATTACAACCAATACCAGACTGAAGTAACTTGTGTTTTAATTCATCTTCTTTTCCTTTCTGTTTGGAAGCAAACTTGAGTCGGTAAGATTTATCCTTTAGCTCAGCAATAGCTTTTGCTGCAGTATCGTACCCCTTAACATCAAAATCTTCACTATCACCACTCTCAATTACCAAGACACAAAATGTTCTTCCTTCATCACTTGCTTGCTGCACATCTGAAAATTCTGTGAAAACGCTTGGCGTCAGGTTAAAAACATCTTGTTTTCTGAGTTGGTGCTTATATGCATCAGTTAGCTTGGGGCCAATTGTTATAACTTGATCTGCCATTTGACATAATTCTATTTCTGTTTGCTGCTTTTGTTGACCTTCAGAAATGCTTTTGTACATGCCAATTTCTTCAGGGGCAGTATGGACAACTTGAATCCATTTGCAATCACTGTAATTGGAATTTCTCTTTATGAGTTGAATTTGCCGACCAAGAGCTACTCCATGGCCTAGAACACAATCCATAGCATGGCCGTCAGGTACAGAGGCTAGCCAATCAACTGGTTCAAAACCACCCAGTTTAGCTGCTTCAATGAGTTTAACATTGTAACTATCAGCATCTTTCTTGTCCTCTTCAGTACACTGAGGTAAGAAAACACTGACTTCCACATTAGGATGTTTAGCCATCTGTATTGCTAGCTCTCGGTTGATGGTTGTCAAGTCTCCATTGCTTGAAGTTTTCCATTCAGCACTCAAAAGGGTTACTCCCAGTTTTCTTTCCCCAGCATTGTTCTGTGAGCACAAGATTTTTGTGATTTAGGAAAGTACAATTTACAGTATATGAATATAAAAAAAAACTCATTTATGAATTATTTTACTTTTGAAAGACACTTTATAATTTTCAATTCACTTGGCAACATCACAAACTCATTAAACTTATGAGCAAAAGTTGTGCAAAATTTCTGTGAGACAGTAAAGAACAATTGTTGTGGATACCACGATTAGTGTGATATAACTGTGTAATCTCATACTCTAAGAAGTGACCTACATCTGTAACTGTTTGACATCACACAAAAAATGTTACACACAAGTTTTTCCTCGTCAGATATTCAGAGTTTGGTTTTGCATGAAATAGCAAACTTTAAATCATCCAATTCTAAACAACTTGTATGATCAATTATTATCTAAAAAAAAGTGTGAAACACAAGACCTAGTACATATTTTTCCTCAGCCTCGATCATCCAAAAATAAAAACTTACTACAGTCATCTATGTGGACTGTTAATCTTAAACTGATGTGAACTTATTTTACTCTCTAAAAAATTTTTTTTTCCCTCATCAACCTCCTGCTTGGTAAATACCAGTAATATGTTGTTGCAAAGTTTCTTATCTGCAGGAAAGTAATTTGCTCCTGAAGTGAGAGAGTTGGCAGGGATGCATTGATAACGTCTGGATAAAAGTGAAGTTTCCTTAAAATGAAATGACACCTGAGTGTACAAAATAACTTGGTTGCTGCTGTGATTTTCAGAAGCAGTTGTTTGATCTGCTACCTTTAATTGTCCCGACATCACAGGAACCTTTTATGTTGGACAGGAAGTTGCTAAAATAAAAATCACAAGAAAATAAATTACTTTTATTACTTATTCACAAAAAATGTGTTAAATTACTACCTGTAGCCCACTGTGTTAAATGACCACTGAAAATTGCTGGCATGTAATCATATTGCCTTTTTGATCAGGTAAAAATTTCTTCCTTCTGAAAAGCATGCAAGAGAAATGAAGTTTTCAGGAAACAGTGCAGAGGAGAGGTACTTCAGTGCTAAAAAAAGTTATTTTAAAGTGCTAAAGATTTCACAAATTGTTAAGCCATAACCTGCAGGGTTTGAATAAATTCTGCATGCCATTCCTGTAAATAATTATTAAAAGCTATTACTATTGTTAAAAAAATATGTTTTCCCAATGGCAATGTATTGTTTTTGTCATTGTTTTCTCTATCCAAGAACTGAATGCATTATGTAGTATGGGGCTATGCAGAAATTTTACCCAATATATTTTCCGCCGGGGCGACGGATTAAAGTGCCCATATGACACGCAATTTTTTTTGCGTAAATATTTAGCTTATCATATGTACAAACCAATTCCGATAGAAGAAAAATTTCAAAAAGCCCAAAACACGGTTTTTTCGGGCCCTAAAGTGCTCTTATTTTATCTTAAAAATGTCCCGTGGGCTGGTAACGAATTATCGGGTGATGACGTAGAAAAACTGTGAGAACTCTCAGTTAACACTTACAAATCTCTCACATCTCTTGTAATTTTGCGTTTGTATCGATCAGCGTTGAAATACTCTTGAAATTATGACCGATAGCGATGCACACCTACCTTCAGCAGGCTCAAACGAGAGTTGTGATACATCGCACTCAAGTAGCAAAGAAGAAATGGAAGTTGCGAGCACGGTTCAGCCCTACGAAGGAGGACCGCGTGCATCAAACGAAGATTTCGACGAAGACTGACAAAGGCGGTTTCTCTCCCTCTACTGAATATTTAGTTTATTGCGTTTGTGTTTTGTTTTCTATGGCGAAATTTATGTTAAGAATGAGTAGTGTGTTCGTTTCTGTTGCCAAAACATTTCATTCCTTCGCAATAAGTGCGGCGAAGGTTCCCTCGGTCAGTGCTCTAGAGTTTCGTTGCTGTAGAGTAATTCCCTTAAGAAACCAAAAGCGAACTTTCGACGAAAGAATCAGCTGCATCACGAGGCACAATGATTTTTCGCCGAGAAGTCATCGGGCAGTTTCACTGCAAGTTGCTCCTTTCCCCAGAGAGTGCAAAAAAACGGGGGCTCTCGTCGTCGAGCCGGTCTAACGGAAAACGAGTGAGTTTATAGCAATCTGATTGAAGTTAATCTCAAAGAGGAATTTTAATAGACAAAAGCCTCTTCAGTTTAAGTGCAGCATTGCTATATGACTCATTTCGCCTAATGGGTAAATGAATATTTCATATGCATCGACTTTCACACATCACTTGGATTCGCCACCATCTAATTCCATAAAACTTGTGTTTCTTTGGAGTAAAATCTCTTCGATGACAACGATCGAAACGCTATGTAATATGATCGTTTTGGCGGTGCGCTTAAAAGGGACACTTTTTGGCCGCCAAATCGTACTTTCAATGCACCAAAAAATGGACAAGGAGAACTCGCCGGGGCAAAATTTCCGCACAGCCCCATACTACATTAAGCATTCAGTTCTTGAACAGAGCAAACAATGACAAATACAATACATTGCCATTGGGAAAACAGATTTGTTTAACAATAGTATGGGGCTATGCGGAAATTTTATCCAGCTTAATAAGTCAAGCGAATATTTTGATATTCTCTTGAAAAAATCGTACGTTCTTCTCCCGCCTTTCATATGACCTTTAAGTATAACATGAGTCCTTCGAAATTCTTTCTCTGGTCCAGTGCAGTTAAATATTATAGTAGAACTGGGGTAAAATTTCCACGTAGCCCCAAACCACTGTTAAACAAATCTGTTTTCCCAATGGCAATGCATTGTTTTTGTCATTGTTTTCTCTATCCAAGAACTGAATGCATAATATAGTATGGGTCTGTGCAGAAATTTTACCCAATATACTTTCCGCCAGGGCGGCCGATTAAATGATAACCCAAGACAGAACGCGAAAGATCTATAAACCGAAGAGTTTAATCTTAAACAGAAAAAATCTAGAATTGTTTACACTAGAATGGTAACATTTCTGCACAGCCCCATACTACATTATGCATTCAGTTCTTGAACAGAGCACACAATGACAAAAACAATACATTGCCATTGGAAAAACAGATTTGTTTAACAATGCTATAGGGCTGTGCGGGAATTTTATCCATCTTAATAAGCCAAGAAAATATTTTGATGTTCTCTAAAAAAAAGTCGTATGTTTTTCTCTCGTCGTTCGTATGACCTTTAAGTGTAGCATGAGTCATTGGAAATTCTATCTCTGGTCCAGTGCAGTTAAATATTGTGGTAGAACTGGCGTAAAATGGAGTTTCGCAAATTGGATTTCTCAACGCACGTTATTTCTAGAACATAAGAAATGCGGTATGTCGAAGTTGTAAAAAGGGCGAGAATCAAGGACTTCAGAAAACGGCGGGAAACACTCTAAGTGATACCTTTTCTCGTTTTATTCATTCTCACGTAAAAGATATCTAGCCCATTGTTAGATCTTGGCGCGTGTTGTTGAAAGTTCAAATTTTGTAAAATTTCAGACAAAGCTTTCTTGTTTACCAGACAAACTGAATAAAATATTCCTCCTCTTTATTCTTGTTTAAACTTGTTGATTTGAGTGTAAATATAGATAAATAAGCACAAACTTGACCCAACATTCATTGTTTTATCGGCTGACCAAGAAATGTCTGTGACTCATCTAAGAAAATTCTCTGATTTCATAAGCTCGATATTGCTCGCAGCTATGAAACATAATCATTTGTCATTTGGAGTTTTTTCGCCCGAATCAGGAGCCCACCATAATTCAATGCAATCAGAGTGGGCAACACCGCCTGATCAGTATGTAATCACGAGATTTTTTGTCATGGATTCTGGAATAGATAGGCACCCCTAAATTTTGTCAGAGCAATTTTTTTGCAAGGGACACCCGCGAAGACGTTTTTGTCTACTGTTCGTCTTAAAAAAGATGTTTGAAAATAGAGGTGATGAGTTGCTCTCAGATATTTACCAACATTTCATTTCAGTAAGAATTTTAGGCATCATACATCAAAAGTTAACATGAGTTGGCTTACCAAGTCTTTGTTGGTATGTTCGGGAAGTGAAGGTCCTGTATCTATTCCGTTCAGTGTCACGCGGTGATGATGACCTGAAATTATTACCATAAGAGCTGAAACTATTACGTATAGAAAAATAAACTGGTTAAACACCGCCTAACACTAGTAACAGTAGCATTTCACGTCGATTTCCGCCCTCCTCAGTCTGACTTTCGGTTTAATGAGTTATTTTTAATTAGTTGATTTACTATCACGTGACAACATTGGGCTGGGCGGGGCGAGGGGGGGGGAGGAGGCAAAACCCTCCTCGGCTATAAGATATGACTATTACACCACCCTGCTGTTTTTGTAGCCCGTGGCGTAGGTACGTTGCAGCTGGTTGAATGCAGGCTCGTGTATTTAAGCGGAAACGAAAGTCTGAGTTAGGAGGCAAATCTGTGAATGGATGTTGGTATGGTCCAAGGAAAAAAAAATTATTGTGACTGGAGGAGGAGGATATTTTGGCCACAAGCTGGGAATGAGCTGAAGAAGATGGGAGCAGTGGTTGTATTGTGTAACATCTCGTGGCCGTTGTATGAGGTTGGAGTGTTTTTAGGCAGACTTGATCGGTAAATTACGTAATTCACTTTGGATTATTTTACCAAAACAACTCCTTTCAGATCTCGCCTTTGTGCTACGCACAGATGAAAATATTAAATTTTGCCACGGGGAAAATACATGGAAGTTTTTTAAATTTGCTGTGGCAGACACCCGGTGGTGTGAAGTCTTTTCTAAACATTTAAGTCTCATTTTATGTCATAAGATTCATATATATGTTTTAGGGGATATAACAAGTAAAGAAGATGTAAGAAAGATATTTATCAGTCATCAGATTGATGTGGTTTTTCATAGTGCATCATATGGAAAGTCTGGAAGAGAGCAAGTTAGTATGTTGTAGTTATTGAGTGAACGGTGGGGCCAGACAAAAATACATTTGCCTCCAGGTTTTGGATTCAAAGATGTGCAGAGCTTGGATTCTGTGCCTGTTCCAAATGTCATGATTGAGAGATAAATCTTTCTCTGTCTTCTCTGTCTTTCTCTGGCCCAACCCTACTCAGTCAAAACTGATTTTTTAGACTGAAATGCAGTCCTATGGATGTACCAATACTGCTTGTTGCTTTCTGCTCCTTAATTGGAATAAGCTGCAACATGATTGTTCATTGGGTTCCAAGCTGTCCTTTACCTTAAATTCTGTTGATATCAGTATCCATATTCTCTATACTGTTCCCTAAACATATCCCATGGTACTGACAAAGAGAATCTGTTTAACAATCAAAGTATTTGTAATCTGGTGATCATTTCCTTTATTATGATGATCCTATTTTTTGACTCAGGGATGATACCGTTAGGAGAATGTAGATGCTGGTTACGTTAAAGGATTAAAGGGTTTTCTCATTTGGACTGTTCTTGGGCATGGTCCACATTGAGATGGCCATGGTAGAAATCATTTGGAATTGGAATAGGACTTCCTTTACAACAACTTTATTTATGTAAATAATAACATTATAGTATATTATTATTATAATATGTATTATTATTATGATATATTATTCCACTCTTTAACTAGTGATGTGTTTGCAACTCAGGCTGTTGTGGCATCTGGCTGTATTTTATCATGAAAAACAGTAAATCAAGATGAAATGAAGGAAAGAAATGGGATCAATTTTAAAATTAAACTGTGCTTTATTTTGAATTTTGTGTGTTATTTTCAGTCACGCAGAGAACAGATATAGAGGGTCAACATTCTAGGAACAAAAAATATCACTGAAGGTCTGTGAATTTAGTGATATGTAAAACTTGGCTTGGAATTAAAGTTTACTTAAAATTTTTTTTTTGATTTTGAATTATACTTTGACTCTCCTAAACAAACAAAACCAGTCGTAATGAAAATGTTTAATCATTCTTTCCAGCCTGCTGTCAGCATAACGTGGCTCGTCTTGTCTATACAATAGATAGACAGATAGACTGTGTTTTATTAAAATTACATTGCAGATAAAACTGAATTGCGTAACTTCACATTAATTAATTGTACAAACTGTTTCTGCTTCACATTAATTAAACCTGTTCTTAATTGTTTTTTTTTTTGGTCACAATTTAACAACCTCATGTTACAAGTACAAATAATGTGGTGTTTGGAGGGCAGGTTATCAGAAATTGAGATGAGACTTTGCCATATTTACCTCTAGAAAAGGTAACTATTCTGTTATCTTTAGAGTTAAACTTAAAACATTCACATATACATATATTAGTCCATTTGGTATAAAGAAACATGAACCAAACCAGAAAGAAAACCCTCTGGAGTATGCAACTTTGCTTTTAAAGACAACTATTTTTTATGCAAAAATTCAAAGTCTGTTTATTTCCATTTTGACAGTCCCATTTACATGACACATCTGCCAACCTCTTACCAGGCCCATATGTGAGAGATCTCTCTTAAGTAGACTATTTAACTCCTATATCTATGTTATCAAGTTTTCAAAAATGTTCCATGCATGTTCCATGTACTTCTCAAGATTACTGAAGAAGCTCTGACAACTTCTTCAATTAGAAATATGCATGAGGTTGTTAAATTGTGACCAAAAAAAAAAACAAACATAAACAAAAGTGAAACAGCAAAGTTTGTTTAAACAGAAAACTGGTAGTTGATAGTTTTCTTTCAAAATCAGTTTTTGCCGAGAGTGTGAGGGAAAAGTATTCATGGATTAATAAATCATAATTTAGGTCAGGTATGAGAAATTTTCTTTTGACTTTTGTCAGCCTTTTGAGCATCCTGACCATTATTCCAGAACAAAGTCCATAGCAGAGCAAACTGTTTTGAATGCTAATGGTGTACCATTAAAAGGTGAGATTTTTATATCAACATTGCTTTATTGAGAAAAAAATTCTTCAATTTCTAATAAATATTTTCCTGGGCTTAATCAGAGGTAAAATACAGAGCAGCTTAGTTTTATGTGATACAGATGTCGAGGTACATTGTCAACATAATTTAATTGCCATGAGGTGTAAAATAATACCCAAGATTCAGAAGTGATCGTCCATTCTGAGAGCATTGTTATTACAGTTTTAGGTGCTTTTGGGAAAAAAATGTGCGGAATTGTGTCTGCATTATGAGAACTGTTATTAAGTACCTAATACCTTTGTTAATTCAAATATTGTATGGGAATGAAATGATGAGGCATCATATGAATTAATATTTGTAAATCATGTACTTCAGGTGAAAATAAAGGTTTCAAAAAATTAATAAACTAATCCTTATACATAATGTAGAACAGATAGGTTAAAGTTTATCTTCAGTCTGTCATGTAACTGTTCCTTCAGGTTTATTTTTTATGTTAAAAACCTTACTTATTTACATTGTAATTTCATACTCAGAACTACACTGGAATGTTCAGTTTTTATGTAATGTTGCTGGTTTACTTTCCTTTATTTTATTTTTCTTTTTTCATTCTTCACTTTTTTTTCTTATGTATGTATGTGGTTTGATTTATTGTATGTATGCTGTAACTTTTTACTGATGTCAATAGTTGTTGTAGTCTTGTATGTAATGGGTTGTATTGTGAAATAAAGCTGTAATTTAAAAGAAAATGAAGGCAATAAGGATTTTCTTAATAGCCTTTTAACTCCCAGAAGTGATCAAAATGTAACATCTCTCTATAATATCCATACATTATTCAGCAAACAGGTAATGAAAATATTCAAACTTATCAGGTAGGTCCTATCTTGATCTAAAACCAAATTCTTGTTACCTGTTTACAAGGAAATGTGTAGCAGCTAGAGGGGAGAATTCACAATCTGATCTTGAGAGTTGAAGGGTAAAGATAAGTTTAGGCTGCGGTGCCCCAGGTTTTTTGTTTTTGTCTTGTTTGTTTGTTTTTTGTTTGTTTTTTTAACTGGATTGATTGAAAAATATACCATCATTTCAAAAACATCCATCACTTTTAGTTCATAAAATAAATTTGACTAACACATTTCCTCTTATTAAACTGAAGGAAACATGATTGTTACTCTTTTACAACAAAAAAAAAAATTGGCTTGTTGTCCAGCAAATACCAAAATTTATCTAAAAATAGTGAACCCACTTGCAATTCATTTCATTGCCTGAAAATCATCCACAGATGGGAAAATTCTCAAGACCTGTGCTTTAAGACCAGCTGGTATCTACGGAGAAGGAGAATTGAGACATTTACCCAGAATTGTGGTAAGCAATGTAAAATTCTATTTTGATTTATCTTGGCGCTTAGAATATTACTACTGATACATTTTTGAAAAATAAAGCTTAAGTGGCCCATAGTGCTGGAGATTTTCTAAGTATGTGTAAATTAGATGAACTGAAATGAACTGCCACTCTTTGCAAATGTATGTAGAACAGTATGGAGAATATGCATACTGATGTTAGGGTGTAAAGGGTTAAGCAGTGTGAGCCCATTTTCTTCTGGCCTTACAGTTGTGTTTTTCTCTTTTGCTTGTCTAATCAGGTTAAAGTTTGGAATTCAGATTTAAGATTTGGTAAAATTTCCTTTTCCTCTCTTTCATTTTCTTTTATCTTCTCTCCCTTGTCTTAGTCAAACAAATCAAAGAAAAAATGAAGGAAAAGAAATTAAAATTTGGAAAGATGTCCTAACTCTAAAGAAATAATTTATGCCTCAGGTCCTAAACTGTCTCTTGGAATCATTGCTATTTGGCATTTTCTGACTGAAATTTTTTTTACAATTTTTTTAATAGGTTGAAGGTTTGGGATACAAATTTCCCAAATTAAAGTTGCTAATAACTCTTGTATATATGGTTGGTAAGTTAAATTTATTTATTTTCATTTTTGGACCTCTCAGTTATTAATGTCTAGATTCATATTAAGATAAATACTCACATTTTTTTGTTTTCTGATCTTTCTTCTATCCTTTCTTTTGTTGTTCTGTGCATTAATCTGTCCATTTTTAAAAGCTTATTTAATTAATTTATATGAATTTATTAATTCATTCATTTAGATGATGTGTCAAGTTAGGATAATTTTTTGATGTGTATGACTTACAGTTATTTTCAGTTTTTCTTAAGTCCCTGGTAGTTTTTATTTATATTATTTGGTAATAGGGTATATCGTCATCTGATTATTTCTATTATCCTGTTTGTGAATGACAAAGTGAGGTTCTAGCAGGCAGTTTTTCTTGTTTTAGCACTGAGTCAGGGAATGTGATTGCC